GGACTGGAGGATGACTCATTAATGACCTGCGATACACAGATGACACAACTTTGCTCGCTGAAAGTGAGGATGACTTGAAGCTTTTACTGGTGAAGATTAAAGACTACAGTCTGCAGTGTGGATTACACCTCAATATAAAGAAAACAAAAACCCTCACAACTTGTCCAATAAACAGCTTCACGGTGGATGGAGAAAAGGTTGAAGTTGTCAAAGACTTCATATTACTTGGTTCTATAATCAACACCAATGGAAGCAGCAGTCAAGACATCAGATAATGTATTGCATTGGGCAAATCTGCTGCAAAAGACTTCTTTCAAGTGCTGAAGAGCAAAGATGTCCACTTGAAGACTAAAGTGTGTCTAACCCAACCCATGGTATTTTCAATCGCCTCTTACGCATGTGAGAGCTGGGCAATGAATGAGGAAGACTGAAGAAGAGTTGATGCTTTTGAGTTATGGTGTTGGAGAACAATGCTAAGAGTACCACGGACCACTAAAAGGACTAACAGATCTGTCCTGGAAGTGCAGCTGGAATGCTCTTTGGAAGCGAGAATGGCCAGACTTCGTCTCACCTACTTTGGTCATGTTGTCAGGAAAAGCCATTCCCTGGAGAAAGGTACCACGCTTGGTAAAGTGGAGGGTCAATGAAGAAGGGGAAGGCCCTCAGTGAGATGGACAGGCACAATGGCTGCCACAATGGGCTCAGGTGTAGCAAGGATCATGAGGCTGGCACAGGATGGGGCAGTGTTTTGTTCTGCTGTGCATGGGGTCGCTAGGAGTGGGAGATGGCTCGACAGCACCTAACAGCAACATTTGAGGACCTAATGCGTGCTGGCCCTGGAGACAAACAGAAATAAACAGCCCATGGCCCCAGCCCTTGAGACAATGGTGGAAGAGAGACTCAGAAGACATATTTCAATGTGGTCCATCTGTATGCAACTGCAGCATATAGTGTGTATAAGTCCCCTCTGGCTGCTGTAACAAAGCACCACGAAAACTGGGTGATTT